GAAGGAAAAGCTGTTAAATCCTTGAGGGCAGGAATCATGCCTGGTTTTATTAATTCAACAAATATCATTGAATGCATAATATGTGCCAGGTCTGGTGCCCCTTAGATATTATTTTCAGTACCCAGAATAGTGGTAGGCACATAGCAGGGACTCAAAATAAGTACCTGTGGGTTGGCTGATAGAAAGAAAATTTTGGAAAAGCAGTGTAAGGCAACATATAAGTGTGAATGTATCCTACATGCTGAACAGTAATTTGGAGTCTTTATTGCTCAGGAGACTTCAAAATGGGCTGAGATCAATTTGAGAAAAGACTTCTCCCCTTCTACCTAGATCTGTGGGGTCAGAGGAGGAGGTACTAGCTATGAGTTTATGTTAACCTAGGTTGCTCTAAGTTGGTTTTCTTGGAAAACTTTGGCTGTGTAGGGAGGCAACAATGCTAACATTGGATTGGAAATGTAGGTACCTGAATTTTATTTGTAGTCATATAATACACAAAACAAGGGAATAAAATGATCCATGCTCACTATACACAAAGCCTTCTTTCGGCCCTTTCCCTCTTATCCAAGCACCATGTCACTATTACCAAACAAGTTCCTTGATGACTCTTCCAAATGTTTTGTCCCAGGATATGACACGTTGAAAGAAGATGCTGAAGGTTTTGGAGTGAAGAAACTACAGAGTGGGGATGTCCTCATCCGGGTTCTAGGGACCATCTCTTTTGCCGTGGGGATTTCAGAACTTGTATCAGTTGCAAAAGGCTGTAGAATTCAATTACTCAGGGCTCCTTAGAGGGCCCTGACCTAATGAGGCCTGATCCCCTAAGCCAGAGTCAACCTCCTGCTGTGTATTCCCATAGCACCTCCTTAATGTTAACACACATCATGCTTTATTGCCATGTATTTGATATCTCCCCTTTGTTAAGGGATATAAAGGCAGTTAAGTTCAGTGAAGTCAGGGACTCTGTCTTTTTTTTTTTTTTTAAGATTTAATTTATTTATTTGTCAGAGAGAGAGAGAGAGAGGAGAGAGAAAGCACAAACAGGGGGAGCAGCAGGCAGAGGGAGAAGCCGACTCCCTGCTGAGCAAGGAGCCCAATGGCCCTGGGATCATGACCTGAGCCGAAGGCAGACACTTAACTGACTGAGCCACCCAAGCATCCCTGTTTGTCTTTTTAACTGCTGTGTCGTCAGTGCCTTGCATGATACCTGGTAACCACTCATATTAAATGGATGAATGAAAGGGAAGAAGGACTTTGTAGGTAGAAGAGGTATGAGGAGCTAAGACAAAGAGGTGAGAAGGTGTGGGCTATGTATACGTGTATGGGGAGTCATGTAGCCTAAGTATGGCGTATGTGAGAGGAACGGGGAAGAAGATAGGATGAAGCTGTGCTGTGGAGGATCTCAAGTAGAAGTTAAAGAGTCTCAATTTTATAAGCAGTGGGAAGCCAGTGAAGATCACAGCTAAAGCAGTGAGGTAGAATATTACCATTGTATTTCATAGAATTTATTCATGGCACGGGCAGCTTCCTTTGCCCCTCCTAACACACTTCCTGCCAAGAAACGGATAATAATCTACAAAGCATTTTATATGCTCTACACCCAGTAAACTCAATGGGTATCTAATCTACATATTTCTTTGGCTGAGGTTGTGGGGGACCCGAAGGGACCCAGTGTAGCTGGGAAACTGACTTTCACATTATAAACTGAGCAGCTGGTACATGGTAGCAATTTTAAGTTTCTCTGACCTCGCCTGGGTCATCCAGGAAGTCACAAATGAGACTTGTCCTGTGCCCTATTTGCTGCCACCAGGGTGCTCAGGGTCTGCCCCACCCCCACCCCATCTGCTAGTCGCTCTTGTTCCCCCCCCATGAAGCAGCCTATCTGACGTCACTGTCTTTCTTCTCTTCCACGATGTTCCTTTTTTGTACCCGTGCTTTCCTTCTTCCAGGTGGGATTCCTTGCACCACAAGTGAAGGGGTCAGCCGTCTTGGCAGACCAGACCAAAGCGTCACATTCTTTGCCTGACCCTATTTTTAGACCTCCTGGGGGACTTGCAAGGAATGAGTGGCAGAGTCAGAAGATCAAGGGAAAAGTCTTCAGGGATTGAGGACAGTTTGGAAAACTTGCCCCAAATTTTGGAAGAATATGACATTTGTTTCCCTTTTTTCTTTTTGTTTCTTTTTTATTTCTATTTCTGTTTCCCTTTCACTTTCTCCTCTTCTGCTCTTCCATGTGTTTCTCTCTTCTTTGTAATGCACTTCTCTCTACTTTCTCTCTCTCCCTCTTTCTCCGTTCCTGTCCTCCCCCACCACTTTCCTTGCTAGTAAAGGCTGCCTTTTATTCTTTAGTTCTTATATGCTGAGCATTGTGCTAAGTGCTTTTTATGCATCACCTCATAACACTGGATGAGCTAAATAACAGTATCCTCATTTTGCAGATAGGGAAATTGAGATACAGATCCAGTAGCTTCTCCAAGCTCAGCGATATTAATAGAGATTTGAACTCCACTTAGCTACCCCCAAACTGTATTCTCTTAACAACTACATGGCCTCTCTTTTTTTCATTCTCAACTCCCGCTTGTCTTTTCCCTCTTTTTGCTTCTCCTCTCCCTCCCCTTCTCCCCCTCCCCTCTCTCAGACACTCAGCACATCCTGGTCCCTGCACGTGTGTGGATGACCCTGAAGGTGCTGAACACTATGCACGTGCCTAGAAGAGATGACAGACCATTCGAACTCTTATCTAATCAGCCATTTTCCTTTTGAGCCAACGCTCCACGATTTTCCACATTTGGAGGTTAAGGGAAGGGGACCCTTCACTACCTAAGGGAAAGGGCATGTGTCTGATCACAAACCAGAGGAAAGGCCTCAAGACCTGGATGAGTCTTTGATATGGAAGGGGACAGAGATAAGGCCCTTTCCACTCATGTGTGGACTCTCAGGGTTGGGGAATGGGGGCCCCGGAGAAGACAGGGCAGGAGGCTGGTCTCTGTCAAGGTATCAACTCAGGAGTCAAGGAAGCTTGCACCATGAAATATGGCACTCCACCCTGTCCTTCCTCATTTGCATAAGGAATGTTCAGATAGGAACCAGGGGCATATTGGCAGCAAAGATGTGAAGGTCAAGGTTTGAACTTGACAATCGCCAAGATCTCATTAGATTTGAGGTTTTATGATTACAAGAAGGGAATATTTATGTTCAGCTCTCTCTCTTTCTTTTTTTATTTTTATTTTTTGTCATTCTGTTGATTAGGATTGGTTAGAGGCTTAAGCCATAAGGACATTTATTGCTCATCAAATAAGAATTCTGGAGGTAGAAGATGCAAGAGCTGATTCAGAGGCTTCAGGCCATTGGCTGGCATTTCTGAGACTCTCTGGACAGCTTCACACATCTTGGCTCAAATAGCCCCTGTCCACTGGCAGGAAGTAGTGGGGATGATGGGGGTGGGGGGACCTCCAGTGAGGCTCCTTCCATTTACTGGGGGCTGGAAAAACTGTTTCTAGAGCACTCCCTCTACATTAGACTCTCACCATACCTGGCTGACCAGATCTAACTGCAGTGGAGACTGAGAAAGTGAAATCTGGTCTTTTCACCCTGCTAATGGGTGAAAAGCAGGCAAGGAATAGGGAACTGATTTCCCATACCAGAGTTTGCCACCCTTCATTCACTCGACTAAGATTTACTAAGCACGCATTCCAGGCCAGGCTCTGGGCCAGGTAATGATGATACAGAGGAAAAGGCAATCTCTGTTCTCAAGGAGTCCCTACTAGAAGAACACAGACAGGCAGAGGGCAGCAAACAAGAAGGCAAGTGCTAGGAGGGAACCGAGTGTCCCTAGGGCCACCACAGGAGCTGATGAGGCTCAGCTTGAAGGAGCAGGGAGGGCTGGAGGTAGCCATAACTGGGTTAAGTTTTGAGGATTAATAAGGATTTAGCTAAGGGCGAGGGGGCATGTAGGAGGTGGCTGGGAAGAGGGCATCTGGGAATCTTCCAGGATGTGACATGGCAGAACAAAAGGAATGAATGGGGAAGACAGGAAATGAGGTTGAAGAAGCAGGAAAGGGCCTGCTGAGAGAAGGTTCTGTGTGGGACATAATGGTTTGGGGCATTTATTCTGGATGAGCAGGGATGTGCATGGGGACCTTCTGCAGGAGGACCAAGAGCCGTACCCCTGGAATGGCTGCACTGCACTGAGGTGTGGGAGATTGGCATTGCCAGGTGCCTCCCAGCTGCGGGAACCTGAGCCTCATCCACAGCACCCAGAGCTGGTGTAGCCCCATACCTTTTTGTTCGCCATCTCCTGATACAGCTGGGGACAGTTCTGAAGGTTAGAGGATGGGTTCTGAGAGGCCAGACTCGCCACCCCCACCCTCACTCCTTCCTCTTTGCCCAGTTCCGCCTTCTGGAGCCAAAGTAATTCTTTTTCACCTGATGGCCATTCAAACATATGGACCATTTGAGTTACGATTCCCAACATATCATGTACCTCACCTCATTTAACCCTCAAAACTCTGATGCAGCTGTTTTCCATCCCCATTTTACAGACAAGGTTGCCGACTCAGTGAGGCACACGGCCAGACCCACGAGAGCAGGGAGCAGTGCTGTGTCCTCCTGCTTCACCAGTGTTTCTCCAGGCATGGTCTTTGCACTGCCTGCCTCAGAATAACCCAGGCTGCTCAGAGCAGGTCCCGGGCCCAGGGGCAGCCCCAGACCTCTCGAAGTAGACTCTCTGCAGGTAACAGCACAGAACCCACTTGTAACACGCTCCTCGGTTGATTTCTAGATCCATTCAAGTGTGGGAATCACACTCTAATCTTGCTAACACGACCAATTTTAATCTTCTATTTCCTTTTACTTTTGCTGGCCTGGAAAAAAGAGAACTTTTTAGGTGAATTTGGCTCATGAGTTGCACTTTCTTAAAGAATGGATTAGTGGAATCCCAGAGCCTCCAGACTTTGCAGAAGCATCCCTCTCCTTTACTCTCTTTCTCTCTGCCCCATTTGCAGAAGTCCTGGTGGCCATCTCTTGCTGAGCCAGGATGGGTGACTGGAGCTTCCTGGGAGAGTTCCTGGAGGAAGTACACAAGCACTCTACAGTGATCGGCAAGGTCTGGCTCACCGTCCTCTTCATATTCCGCATGCTGGTGCTGGGCACGGCTGCCGAGTCATCCTGGGGGGATGAGCAGGCAGATTTCCAATGTGATACCATGCAGCCTGGCTGCGGGAACGTCTGCTATGACCAAGCCTTTCCCATCTCTCACATCCGCTACTGGGTGCTGCAGATCATCTTCGTGTCCACACCATCACTGGTGTACATGGGCCATGCCATGCACACGGTGCGCATGCAGGAGAAGCGGAAGATGCGGGAGGCTGAGAGGGCCAAAGGGGTCCGGGGCACTGGCTCTTATGAGTACGCAGTGGCCGAGAAGGCAGAGCTGTCCTGCTGGGAAGAAGTGAATGGAAGGATTGTCCTCCAGGGCACTCTGCTCAACACCTATGTCTGCAGCATCCTGATCCGCACGACCATGGAGGTGGCCTTCATTGTGGGCCAGTACTTCCTCTACGGGATCTTCCTGGACACCCTGCATGTCTGCCGCAGGAGTCCCTGCCCCCACCCCGTCAACTGTTACGTATCCCGGCCCACAGAGAAGAATGTCTTCATCGTCTTTATGCTGGCTGTGGCTGCACTGTCCCTCTTCCTCAGCCTGGCTGAGCTCTACCACCTGGGCTGGAAGAAGATCAGACAGCGCTTTGTCAAGTCTAGGCAGGACATGGCTGAGTGTCAGCTTCCTGGCCCCTCGGCCGGCATAGTCCAGAACTGCACACCACCTCCTGACTTCAATCAGTGCCTGGAGAATGGCCCTGGGGGGAAATTCTTCAATCCCTTCAGTAACAAGATGGCTTCCCAGCAGAACACCGACAACCTGGCCACTGAGCAAGTACAAGGCCAGGAGCCAATTCCTGGGGAGGGTTTCATTCACATCCGTTATGCCCAGAAGCCTGAGGTACCCAATGGAGCCTCCCCAGGTCACCGCCTGCCCCAAGGCTATCAGGGCGACAAGCGCCGCCTCAGCAAGGCCAGCAGCAAGGCCAGGTCAGATGACCTATCAGTGTGACCCTCTAGTGGGGGGGAACCAGGACCAGGTGGGAACCGAGGAAGCTCAGAGAGGGAAGATGTGTCCCTGCCGACCCCATCTCTCATTTTCATACCTGCTCTGCTCCTTTTGGGCTTCAGGTCTCAATGGCATTGCTCATTTATTCCAGAAGGTAGGACCAGGGCTCTGGGAGTGCAGGCAGCACATGGCTACCCATCCAGGCTGCCGTCCCTTCCCATCCTCTACAGTGTACACAGAAGGCTTTCAGATTCCTCAGTCAACAGGGTAGAGGAAGAAAAGGAAACAGTGGTAAATCTAGCCTGGAATGGATAGCCAGAAGGATAGAATGGCTCTCTACATACCAGCCACATACCAGATGGGTTCTCCAAGTTCCTGTGGCTTCCTTGACCTGATCACCCTTCTTGCAAGGAAGAGCCCAAAGTTCCCAGCCAATAAAGAACATCAATCAAGGACCTTACATTAGATGTGCTCTTGAATCTGTTGTCTCCCCTGGGTCAAACCTTGGAGTGAGGCGGCCTTGGGCTGCCCTTGGCTGCCCTCCCTCTACCCAGTCTTACTTAAAAAGAGGTCCTTGGAACTTGACCAGCAGCCTCAACTTTACAAGTGCTTTGGTATGTACCTCTGGCAAATGTCCCACCTTAGTGATGCTGCAACCTTTACTTCTGCCAGGGTGACAACTAGCCCATGGGGGTGCAAGCTCCCCCAGGGAGTGACTGTATACACAGGCTCCACTGGAATCCCTGCCACCACCTGTCATCCTGCGGCTCTTTTACAGCTCAACCCGATGATAGAAACCATCCCATCCCTTCCTCCCTTGGCTGTTCACCCAGTGCTCCCCTAAAGACCTTATCGACCAGAGTGCCCAAGAAGCCGTCATCCTCTCTCAGATCCTGACCAGATCACCAGCCACGAAGGCCATTGGAATTTCCCTAGGTCTTATTAAAACAAAGAGGGCATTGTGCTTCTCAGATTCCCTTTGGGAAAAAATAATTCTGCTGTGAAGATAAAAATAAAAAAAAAAGAGAAAATACTGGAAAACTGTTTTCCCCTCCTATTTATTTCCCTTTCTGACTGCCAACTTAGAGTGCCAAGAGGAGGTGTGATGACAGCTATGGAACCCCCAGAGCTCTCTCTCCCTGGAGGGCTTAGCATGGGCATGGAAGCAGTAAGGGAACCTCCAGCTCTCTTGTCAGGGGCCTCATTTAAGAGCACAGAGATTCCTATGTCTCCCTGGTGCTCCTAACGAGACAGCTGGAAAGCAGTGGTGACTGAGGACTGTGGAAAAGCCCTGCCTTCCCAGGGACTGGCCTGGTTTCTCTGTTCAGTCCATCTGTAATGGGTGGTTGCCATTTTGGATGAAGGTAAAGGATGCTCAGAACTGGATACTGAGACAAATAGGGAGATGATTACTTTTCAAAATGTATGCATGCGTGTGTGTGTGTGTGTGTGTGCGCGCACTGACAGGGTGGGTGAAGGGGAAGGGAGTCTGAAATAAGGAAAGGAAGCCTTAGAGGAACTTGTGTCTTCCTGTCCTCACCTCCAGATGCTGGCAGAGGGGCTGAGCCTCACTGTTTCCAGTGGCATTGGCCTACGCAGATGAGAGGTCGGGGCAGAGGAGGGTGAAGGCTCAGAAGGAAGTTCAGCCTCTGCCCGCCCCCCTCTTCCATCTCCAGGCCCCTCTGCTGATGTTTGGCTGCTATCGGTGCGTGGAGAGAAGGATGAAGATAGAGAGGTGGAGGGGACTGACTGGGACGCCATTTAGGGAAGAATGACTGGTCATCCGAGGTCCCTAGAGAAGACACTTTTTCTGGCACCAGCATTAAGACTCTCTCTCTCCAAAATAACAATAACAAAAAGACTCTCCCTCCATCTCTGAAACGGGTTTGTTTTGTGAAATGAGTGTTCTTGGATTACAAATCCTATGAGATCAGTCCTTGATGATGGGACTTTCAGGAATGAAATAGGAAATAATATGCGTAGTTTGTCTTAATAAAATTTGGCCCTGCATCTATCTCTCTTTTGTGTCCTTTCATGCCATGACCACGGAAGGATGGCAGACTTGGTGGGGGAGGGAAGCACTCAGACTCCACCCATCAGTCAGTAATGCAAACAGCTTTGGAGTCAGGCATGCAAGGGTTAAAAATCCCAGTTGCTTATTTACAGCTGGACTCCAGCAAGCTACTTAATCTCTGAACCCTGGTTTTCTCATCTGTAAGTTGAGCTTCAGAATATTTACATCGTTGGGTTGTTAAATGAGAGACTGTGAAGAGTTCATCGGAGTGCCTGGGAAATAACAGTATGTCACTGAATGGTAATCGTTGATATTGTTGTCATTATTATGTTTATTATTTTCATTATTGTGTTGAATACATAGTATTTGGAAACCTGGGATGTCAAGAGATGATTCCAGAACTTCCCCTTATGGAGCTCACATCTACCTAAGGTGGTCAGTTTAACTCAGGTCAAATTAACTCCAATTACTACAGAGCAAACAACTGGAATAGAATTAAATGGGAATTCATTAATTATCAATTCTAAGAACCACAGGCTCCAGGAAGTGAAACATATGACAAAACCACTGGAAGGGGACACCTGACCTGGGCCCTAAGAGGCTGAGGTTTTAGACAAGTGAAGACCTCAAGGATGACTCTGTGAAATGGGTCTTGGTGTTCCTATTTTACAAACATGGAAACTGAGACCCAGGAAATGTCTGTGACTGTGAAAGCTTCTCATTGGCCTCTCTGATCGGGATCACATCTTTTTGGAAGAGGAGAAATGATTCTTGCTCCAAACAAAGGGTCAAGGCACCACCTAGCCCTTGAGCAACACATGGGTGCTATTTCCTAGAGAAAGAAACAAAGGCTGGGGAACACTACAGAAGTATTATCTTAACTACCAATCAGTGTTGTTCACCAGGGCAAGAAAGCTCTTTTTTTTTTTTTTTTTTAAGATTTTATTTATTTTATATGACACAGAGAGACAGCGAGAACAGGAACACAAGCAGGGGGAGTGGGAGAGGGAGAAGCAGGCTTCCCGCCGAGCAGGGAGCCCGAAGTGGGATTCGATCCCAGGACCCTGGGATCATGACCTGAGCCGAAGGCAGACGCTTAACGACTGAGCCACCCAGGTGCCCGCAAGAAAGCTCTTTTAAAGAGGCTTGCAAGCAGATCATAGAACACATCTTACGACAGCAGAGTTGAGACTCAGGGGTGTACCTGGCATCTGTTCAAGGGCAAGGTGCTCAGTCCAGAGGTGCCTGGGTAGTCCAAGTGGAAAAAGCATCTGAGATCCACTTTTTTTCCCCTAGAAAAGAAGCAGTGCATCTCATGGTTTTATAAACATAGCTATTAACATTTAACAGTTTATATTACACCAATACAGCAAGAGCTAAGGGACTTATTTTATAGTGAGTAAGATTTCAACCTCATGTATCTGCTCTCATTTTCTGTTCCTCTGCCCTTTAAAGGTTCATCACGGAGGAGGGTTAGCTGGGTGGTAATACGGTAAGCACATTCTGGGTTGTAGACCCCTGCAGGCCCCTTTCCTAATTTCCTCCCTCCAGTACCAGATAAGATCAGAATTTCTACCGCTAGTGCTTCATGTGTGGTTAAAATATCTCAGTGCTTAAATGTTAATAATACTCTTATGAAGAATCATAGTATGAATGAATTTCAGATTTCTTCCTAATAGCAAATTTTCCCAGCAGAGAGCAAAACAGAACAAGGGCTCTGGGCACCTCGCAGGTGTCTTAAAGGATTGCTTTCATGATGTGCAGATGAAGAAAACAGCGAGGTTGGAGGGGGTGCCGAAAATAAGCTTCGTGCTTCCCAATCCTCCATAGTTCCTAGGAGCCCCTGCAGTGGGTCCATGGATTGAACAATAAACAGAATTTACAAATGATAGATATATAAATAGAATAGGATCAATAGTTTTTCCTCTTGTTGGTTACTTGTTGGTCATCAGAAATGAGTATGATCTCTAGTTTTTATTGTTCTTTCCATTGGAAAAGAGAAAAATTTCACTCAACAAACATCTATTGAGCACCCACTTTGTACTGGGCACTATGTCAGGTCTCAGGAATGCAATTTTATAAAACATATGATTCCATCTTTTGGAACTTACAGTCTAGAAGGGAAGACACCCTAACACAAGTAAATAAACAAAATAATTACAAATTGTGATAAGTGCAAACAAAGATAGATCAGATGCTAACAAAGGTGGAGGAGGGATGTTCTTCAGAGAGGATGGGCAGAAAGGAGGTAACACTGAGGCTGAGATCTGACAGCTGAGAAGAAGCCAGCCACTGATGACTAGAGGAACCCAAGTTCCTTCCAGGAAACCCCAGAATACAAGTGACCCTGATTTCAGTCTGGTCCAACATTCTTGAAAGACACAGAATTCAAGCAGCACCTAAATAGCACCTAAAACAACACCACTTGGCACCACGTACTTTTTCAGTAAAAGCCTCAAGGGACAGAAAACTCTCTTTACTCAAAGAAGAGAAGGGAGGTTTTAATTAAAACAACTAAATATCATATGTCAACATTCTATAAAGCCTTTTTTGATGTTGCAACTATTATTTCCACCAGGATTGATTCTTGTAACATGCTTGGGGCCTTCTAAATCGGGCCCATTCCCTAGAGTCCAGGCTGGTGGGCAGAGATTGCATCCAAGGGGGCTGGGAAAGAGCCAGTGGGGTGTGGTCCAGAGGAGCGTTGGCATCAGAGGAGTAAAAACAGTGAGACATCAAGTGCACAGAGAGGGGGGCAGTGAGGAAGGAGGGAGAGTACAGTGGCAGGGAAGCCAGGCCACAGAAGTTGTGCAAGACGCCAGGCACGCAGGCATCACTGGGAACATCTCTCAGCTGGCAGCAGGGAAACAGCTCCTGATCTGGGTTTTTTTGGAGCTGGGCCTCCAGACTCAGAGGAGGAGGTTGACATGGGCAAAGCACAGCTTCATGCTAGTGGCTGGGTTATTAGGCAATGCATCAGGACAGAGTCTTGGACAGAGTACAAGGTGGGTACCCATTTTCAGAATTAATGTGAGGTGCTGCTAAAGACATTTATTGATGGTAACATATACAAGATGCCTTCAAAGTCATAAATCTAAAGGAATGACCAATAGTGAGACTTCCAGGCACCTCATCAAGCATGGTGGTGGGTGGGAAGATGATTTTTGGCAGGGGATCTGATACTGCTCTGAAATCACCCCAAGTTGGCACCTTCTTCAACCACACGGAAGGCTAACGCAGCCCTGGGAAGTCATGGCCAGGAAACGAGGCTTAAGTCCCCTCTGTCCCTTTAACCTAGCTGATTTTCCATTACTCTGACTCAAGGCACTATGGGATGGGGTGCATTTACTTGCTGACAAGGGTTTCCTCTGAGAGAAACTGAGAGCCAGGCATGAACCCATTCAGGAGAGCTCTTGCCCTGGGCTCTGCAGGCTGGCCTAGCTAAATTCCCTCAGACAGCAGCTACCTTTCAAACAAGGGCAGCGGACATGCAGAGCAGGGTGGAAAGTTGTTGCACGCCTTCCTGGGATTACTTGGAGAGGTTTAAGCTTACAAATATTTAAGCCAAAATTGTACATTTGGAAACCAACGTCAAAACCTGTGTAGGGTGTCATTAGCTGGAGAAAAGTCAAATTAAAAAAAAAAAACCCACATATTTTGGTAATAATTATGAAACGAATTTGGAATTGTTAAGTGTTATTTTCTAGGCCCTGTGCTAAGAGATTTCATGAATTATCATTTCATCCTTGTAACAATCCTATGAGGTCATTGGACGCCCCCCTTAGAGATAAGGAAACAGATTCAGTAACCTGCACAGCTAGTAGGTGGTAGAAGTGAGATTCAAACACTCTTCTCTTTGTCTACAGCAGGCTTCTCTTAAGTGCTTCTCATATAGCTTTATGGAAAAAGGCAAGATACAAAACTGTACCCACACCCTGATTCCAATGTATAAAGTGGGTACTTCAAAGAACAAAGATTTGAAAGAAACAAACCAAAATGAAAGTGGTTGTGCCAGTATGGTGGATCT